ATAACAAAATATGTCAACATGGTGACAGTTTGAACAAATATGGAAGAAATATTTTATCAAAGTTGGTGCAGCTTTAAGTGCACCAAAGGAGGGTGTACTTTCTTTTCCCTGAGAGCGTTTTCTGTTCATTACTGTTGTCGCTGTGGGAGGTGCAGAACAGCGCCCCGTCTGGTGACACGGCGATGTGTGTGATGGCAGCGCCGAGCCGTGGCAGGAAGTCCCGCTGGCTCTCCTGCTGGTACCGCCACTGGACCAGAACCGACTCCACGCCGCCGCTCAGCAGGTTGGAGCCTGGAGGAGCAACGGCAACACAAAGGGTCAGAAAACATCAGCGGGACGCGCTGCGGGGGGACGCGCTGCGGCGGGACGCGCTGAGGCGGCGGGACGCGCTGCGGCGGCACTCGTTGCGGGGGGACCCGCTGCGGCGGCGGGATGCGCTGCGGCGGGACGCGTCGCGGACGGACGCGTCACGGGGGTTGCGTTACCTTCGGGAGTGAAGCGAAGCGCGCGCACGGCGCCGTGGTGCCAATGCAGGGTGCGGTAGGTGTACTCCCTCTTCTGGTCGAAGTTTCTCCTGAAAGGTCATAGAGGTCAGAGATCACCAGGACCGGGAAGTTCAACCCAGACCAGCGGGACTCACCAGAGCCGGATCTTTCCGTCTTCGTGTCCCGTGGCGACACAGTCGTCCGTCGGGTGGCAGGCGACGCAGGTGAAGGTGTTGCTGCAGCCGCTGCGGCTGTTTTCCTTCAGAGAGAATCTGGATGCACAGCAGAAAAAAAAACAATAACTTATAAATAATTATCAGCTATTGTTATCATTTATTCTTATTTATTGTGAAAAAAATTATGATTTCTCATTATCATATATTGAGAAAAGTTTATTCTCATGACCCAAATTTTGCTTTATATTCTTAATAAAATGCTATTTATATTAACTTGGCTGCCCGGCTTTTTCAAAAATAAAATTTATCAAACAATTAATTAGAGAGCTGAACTGACCTGAAGGACTTCTGCTTCTTGAAGAAGAAGATCTGCAGCTGAACGCCATTAGTCGAGGCCACGTACTCTCCCTGTGGGGAGACGGCAGCCAATCAGAGAGCAGAACAGAGCCGGGGCGAGAGAGGAACAGAGAGAGAGGCGCACCGCTCTGCCGAAGGCGACGGTGGCCGGGTTGGCAGCGACATCGGAGAGCACAGCGGAGAGCTCAGAGGTCTCCACCAGCTGGCCGGCGGTCTGAGGGAGATGAACGGCGAGGAGCTGCTGAGAATCTGCAACCAGACAGAGATGAGATTTTATTTACAAATTTAGATCATATTTATTGAATAATTCTGTTTTAAATACATAAAAATGAATGAAGATTCAGTTAAAATCTCCGTTTCTGATCCATCCAAGTCTGTGTGAATATAAACTAATGTCAACATTTCATTAAGTTTCATGCTCGTCCACCAGATGGCGCTACGTTCAGAATATATCAAAGTTTCATATTTTTAAACAGATGTTTGAAGTGTCTTACGTGTCCATTTTGATTAATTAATTTCATAAATTTTAACAGATTGCAGTCAGAACCTTTATGTTCACTTGTTCCCAGTACATCCATAAATCTGATGCACAGCTACATCCGCTAACAGAAACAATGACGCTGCTTTTATCGGTTCATTTCTGTTCAATCTGATTGGACGCTGAAAAAGGCCATCGCTGTGTTCAAGATGTGCTAAAAAGAGTTAGCCAAGAAACGAAGCTAAACTAGCCTAAAATAGCACCTCAATGCTAACATGCAGCAGCTAACGCTAATGTTTAGCATCCACAGTCCACATTTCATAATCTGTGCTGAAGAACCTGATTAACAGATTAAAAACTAGAATATCTTTCCAAGGTTTTAACTTTTAATGCAATAAAAAAAAAAAGATGCAGACAAATATTCAGATGGAAGTGCGACAGAGAGAGTTTTAGACCAAAACGTCTCGTTGGGCTGGAAGGAACTCAAACTTACCCAGAGTTTTGTATCCTTTTGTTGGCGTGGCGATGAAGACGACGCCATCATGGCTGGCCGAGGCATAGATGGAGCAGATGGGATACCCGATGACGTACGTCTGAAACAGGAAACAGGAAGAGAAGCTTCACTGATTTCACTGTAAAGTTGCGTTCAGTAAGTTTTTGAGTAAATAGCATCGCAGAAGCGCAGCATGTAGCATTAGCTGCTAACGCTCAGACATCCGCTGTCCCGTTAACACCAACTAAATATCTGAAATTAGCTTTATAAACCGCACTAAAATAAGTCACTAGCCTGGAGTCGGCTCTGTTAGAAACAGCCTGGTTCAGGTGGAACCAGCTTAGAAAGGAAGTTAAAACCTGAAGGTTTGTTCAAGCTGATTGATTCAGATGATGGAGAAGTTTTTACCTTAATGAGGATCCCATCGGTGAAGTCCCAGAGCCTCACAGTGCCATCTGCTGAGCAGGAGTAGGCCTGCAGGTTTAACCACAGAATTCATGTCTAATAAAGCATCAAACATTCATTCAGTTCACGAAGGTAAGCTTGTTCTTGAACTAAATTACTGAAATTAATTCATTTTTAATGAGATTCTAATGTATTGAGATGCATCTGGATTTCAATGTTTCACATCATCAGACACAATCACAGGTCAAAGGTTAAAAACAAGAATGTAAATCAAATATTATTTTATGCTCAGAATATATTTTACTCATAATAATCAGAGATTTGTGGTTTTCTTGCTCTGGTTCATGGTATGGAAACTGATTTGATTTTTACCTGTGCACTGAAAAAAAAACTACATTTTACTTTTCTTCCTGAATGTTTTCATTCCTCAGCTGGATTCCTGAGGGGCTGATTGCGGTGAAGTCAGGTTATCTGGCTGACACGACAACACAGTGAATTGTGGCTGTTTACCTGCAGATGGTTGGAAGGTCTGAGCAGCACACCGGTCACCAGGTCCGTGTGGCCCCGCAGCTCCTGGACACACTCCTCGGTGACTGTACTGAACACCTTCACATTGTGTCCCGAAGCGCAGAGAAGAAACCTGCGGACATAAAACATCGCCGTTCGGCTTTAATGCCAGGTTTTATAGTCATAATTGTGGAAACTCGGAATTCAGGCAGCTTTTATGGGCAAAGTTTCGTACAAATGCAGATTTTATAGTCGTGATTTTAGAGTAGCGCGTCATTCTGGCAGGTTTTATTTACATGATTTTACTGTAAAGTTGCGTTCAGTAAGTTTTTGAGTTAATAGCACCACAGAAACAGAAGCGCAGCATGTAGCATTAGCTGCTAACGCTCAGACATCCGCTGTCCCGTTAACACCAACTAAATATCTGACATTATCTTTATAAACCGCACTAAAATAAGTCACTAACCTGGAGTCGGAGCTTAAAACCGGCTCCCTAAAGGTTATATTACTGCCACCTTGGTGAACCACGCGGATCTCAGCCTGTTCAACCATGTTTTCATACCGGCTGACGTCATATCCGCCCGGTGTCTCTCCGTAAAGCTTTTGGTTGGACCCTACTGCCACCTGGCGAGCGCAAACGGCACTGCAGATTAAATGTTTTGAACGTAATCGACTCGGCTATGTTGGGACGGTCATGTTCTGGCATCATGGGATGAAAAGAAGCAAAATAATCAGCGTCTGTTGGGGGAAGAAGACTCGGACTTCCTTTCATTCACCATGTGACTCATCGAGATTTCTTAATAAAAGGCTGAGCGTTATTCTTAGCTGTTTATCTCAAACAGCTCATTTTGTTATTTTTACTACAACTATCCACATGTTATTGCCGTATTGTTTCACTCTGTATGAACTGTCCCATACAGATGCTTGAAATAGTTTAATGAGTCTCTGAACGGACAGCAGACCAGATGAAAGTCCTTACTGTCTGTCAGACCTGCGATCAACCCCTTTCTCCGCTAGGGGGCACCAGATCTCAGTGTAAATTATTAAGCGGCTTTCAAAAGCAAGTAAATAAATCAGCAAAATTTACTGTTTTCCTTTCAAAGCATTTTAAAGATACCATCTCTGTTGAGGAATAAATGATGACACCCTCAAAGTTATAATGGCATCAATTACACATGGCGCGTGTTTCCTGTTAAGCTCTAACATTTAGTTTGTTCTGACTGTCAAAACTTATCAACATTATAATTCATTATGACTGATATGAAACCAACTCCTCAGGTCAACTCTCACCTTCTGTCACACATCATGTTGGTTTAGTCCCAGTATTAATCTGTGACTCATTGTGTGATGTCTAATTTATTAAAATGCAGAGCAAATCGAGACAACAGCAGTCCCACAGCATGACTCCTCCAGGAAATATCTGCCTTGTTCAAGCTAGCTAAATATTTAGCTCCAAACTGAACATTTAGCAAGCAAAAAGTTTACTTTAATCTAAATATTTAGTTATTGAGTTAAGTTATTTGGGTGCTAAATATTTAACAGCAGACTAAATATTAATTAGTCAGCAACTTATTCTGAACCTTAGATAATCAAGATAATTAGCTAAATATTTAGATCTGAAACTTCATTATCTAGCAAATGAGTTAGAACAAATATATATTTAGTTAGTGGGCTTCATATTTAGTTTCAAGATAGCTATTTAATTAGAAAGCTAAATATGTAATTAGTAAGTAAATATTTAGTTAATGAAGTAACTATTTAATTTGGAGCTAAATGTAAACACAATGAAACAGTAATTAATGGCACTTTGGGAGCTCCATAGACTCTGATTTCCTGTGATTTGGTTGAAGTTTCTGGTTTTATTGCTCTGCTGGGCTGTTTTTCTGTGGGAGTGGAACAGCGGGGGGTGAAACCTGCGGGCCAACGCGTGGCGGGGGATGGGCCGGCTTCCTGCTGAGCGACAGCAGTCAGAGGTTCTCTTCCTGGACGCAGCGCACTGTAAAACTGAAACCTCTGACAGAAGCAGGCGCACATGCTGGCAGGGACAGACGAGGAAACAGCGCTCTGACACCCAGGATCATCTGAAGAGAGCAGCAGAGCCAGCTTTCTGAAGGACCGTGACCTCTGACCCTGAGCCAGAAGCAGAATGAGCCAGTGGAAGCAGGTCCAGCAGCTGGAGATGAGGCTCCTGGAGCAGGTGGACTACCTGTACGATGACAACTTCCCCATGGACATCCGGCAGGGCCTGGCCGGCTGGATCGAGTCCCAGGACTGGTGAGTCCGACTCGGGTCGGTTCTGCTGCATCGACTGCAGCCCTGAACATGGCAGCGTGTCGGCTTGACATGTAAAGAAACGGATCAAATTAACTGGATTAAAAGTCTCACAAGTTTGAGAATAATTCAACTTTTTACAGTAAATATAAAATCATCTGCAGAGGATTTGGATTTAAGAACCAATTTCTGCTGAATATTTAACGATCTTCCTCAGAGATGAAATTCCTGTAACCTCCTGTGATTCCTGCTTGTAATCGTGTCATTAACTGGAATTGAGCCAAGTTTAAATTCCTGCTGTTAGATCCTCCAGAAACAGGAACATTTACAGTAAAACATTTCCTTCTGTCGTTTGACCTGTGGTCAGGTTTAATAAAACATTCATGATCCTCCTGAGTGAAAAGACCCTTCAGATTCAAACTATTTATGAATTGTTTGAAACTCCAACAGGAAATCTATTAAATCACATTTTCTATTCACAATATTCTGACAAAACAGCAGATTCAACAAAAACAGATTCTTTCTGTTTCTTTGTTCAATATTAAAGATCAAGAAAATAAAAACAGAAATTTTAAAAATGAATCTTTGTCCCCATTTACAGTTTGTTTAATGGGGTCAGAAAATGATCAGCTGTTGAACCAAAACAAAGAAAAATCATGAAAAGTCTGAAGAAAAACTTGACAAATAATAATGAAATCTGTGTTTTGTGTTTTTCAAAAAGAAAAAAACAAAATGAGATAAGAAACAAAACCAATAACTATATTATTACAAATGACTTTTACTTAATCTGAAACTAAATCAAACTTTGATATTTTAAGAGCCTTGTGATAATTAATGTAGTTTTTCTAAAAGTAACCACAGTTTGATGAAATTTCAGTTTGTTTCGGTTTTTATGAATATTTTTACTGTCATATAAAATATGATCATATATTTACTTTCTCTCTCCTCAAAATGGCTTCAGCAGGAAAACAAATACAAGACATAAGATCTCAGGCGTTAACAAAACTCATCACTAAACTGAACTGTTCACTAAACTGAGCCGTTCAATAAACTGAGCTGTTCACTAAACTGAACTGTTCAATAAACTGAGCTGTTCACTAAACTGAACCGTTCACTAAACTGAACTGTTCACTAAACTGAACTGTTCACTAAACTGAGCCGTTCAATAAACTGAGCTGTTCACTAAACTGAACTGTTCAATAAACTGAACCGTTCACTAAACTGAACTGTTCACTAAACTGAGCCGTTCAATAAACTGAACCGTTCACTAAACTGAACCGTTCACTAAACTGAACTGTTCACTAAACTGAACTGTTCACTAAACTGAACCGTTCACTAAACTGAACTGTTCAATAAACTGAACCGTTCACTAAACTGAACTGTTCACTAAACTGAACTGTTCACTGAAGCCGTCTTGCTGACGGATCTCGGGTTCTCATGCTGAGTTCAGTTCCTGCCTTCAGGCCTTCGGCTCAGACTCTGGTTAAAAAGAAACAGAATCAGATTCAGCAACAGTTAGAGATGCAGAACGATTTCACACTGAACTCATTCAACTAATTGACAATATCTGGCCAAATCTTCCATGACAAATACGGCAGCCATCTTGAATCATCAAAACTGATCAGTAATATGATTTCTGTGTCCATTACTTGACACCAGAAGCATTAATCTGAAATAAATACTTAAAGTTTTAGTGCAGGAAGGAATTTTCCTTGACATCCATCTTTAAAATTACATCTTGAATATTTCAGCAACTAGCGTTTTGTTTTTGCTTTGTTTTTATTCTTTTTGTAACACAACCACCAGGAACATCTGCTCTCAAGTTTCTGTATTTGAAAGATTTTGCTGAAATATTGAGTTATCTATTCTCCTTTTATAAACCCGACAGTCATCAGCATAGAAGTGGAATTAAGAGGCAACAAAGAATCAGTGGCCCAAACACTGAGCCCTGTGGGATCCCAGCCGGCACAGAAACGTTTGCTCTAAATAACCAGACATCATGTAGAGACTGAAGGAAACATCCAGGACCAGATAAAATCTCTCAACGCCTTCTGCAGAATCTTTATGACCCGATGAAACCATCGGTTTCGGGTCACAGTTTCATAAAAACGCAGCGTTCCCACAGAGGAACACGGTGGTGGGATGAGCATGCTGTGGAGGTTATCAAGATGAAGAGGCTATGAAAAGTTACCAATAAGTAGATTTTAGAACAAATTTGTATTCAGATCAAATCAAAAACTGAAATTCACTCAAACAGCGAAACAAAAATAAACAAATTAATTCACCAAGAAAAGCAGCAAAATAACAAATTCAATCAGTAAATTATGGTTAAAACGTCTCAACTCATCTGAGGCCTGCTCCCCCCAGAGAGGTCAAAGTTCACTCAGGTGAGACTGTTCTGCCCTTCACCTGAGCAGGTGACTGAAAATATTATTACATCATCACATAAAGACGTAAACAAAGATTCAGTTAGAAACAAAGAAACGCCTCCAAAAAACAAACAATAATGAAAAAGTTTGAAATATGAATCAAAGCCGCTGAAATAACTTTAAAATATTTTGATGTAAACAATCATCAAACCGTTCTGACAGGATTAGTTTCTTAAACTTTTTATTTTCTGACATATTTCTTTAACTGCCAGAGAAACAAATTCAGCAGAACCTGATTAGAACCCAAACTATTCTCATTTCAACGAGATAAAATGATTTATTCTCCTTTAGACCAGAAGAAATCAGCATTTAAATAAACATCAAATCACTAAAACAGCAACTTTTGTCCACGAAAAAGTTTGGTGGCCGCTGCACATTTTGAAAAAGTTTGTATATATTTACTCAAACTTTGATGCAAAGTTCATTTTTATACAAGCGGACTTAAAATATGGCGTTTCTGAGACCCCAGATGAATCTGCGACCAGCGGCTGAATCTCGCTGCTCTTCCTGTGGTTTCAGGGATTCTGCGGTCAACGACGAGTCCATGGCTTCGGTTCTGTTCACCAACCTGCAGACGCAGCTGGAAAAGGTCCGATCGCAGGAGCAGAACTTCCTGCAAAGACACAACATGAAAATCATTCAGCAGCAGCTGCAGGTAACCCAGGTTACAACTCCGGCTTTGTTTCTGGTTTTACATTAAAAGATGACCTTTCACCTCAAACCTCAGGAATTCAGTTACCTGGTTTCCAGGAGCTTCACGTTTCTTTCTCCTTCCTGTTTCTGAGTTTTCCTGTTGTTAAGATCATCATGCTCTGCAGCATGTTGTCTGATTCATGACCACAGGAAGAATAAAACCTAGAATCTCATCCTGAGAGAAACTAAATTCAGCTTCAACTGCAGAGCAGACGACGCCCAGGCATCAGATCACTTCACTCACAGAGAAACAAAAAGCAACTCAGTGGAAATTGACATTTTTAAAATACATTTTCCACCAACTGGAGATTCTCAGCATTGATGCTGGATCCGTCTAAACGGACCAGAATCTCCGATTCTGAAGGTAAACAGAGAGCTAGCCGTTTATTAGCGCAGCAAAGTATGGAAAGGCAACAGGGACAGAAAAGGAGCTAGCGGCTACCAGTGCTAGCTAACAGGTCTAATGCTAAAATACCAATCATAAACATTAGCTCAGCTAATGCTAATGGATGTTAGCGAGGAAGCTAACACTAAAACACTAAACCAACATAGTAATTAGTGGAAGCTAACAATACCAATTAATGAAGCTAATGCTAAATCTCTAAATAACCATAATTAGGGGAGGCTAATGCTAAAGCTTTATAGCACTAATTTTGTTTTCAAAGTTAAAACCTCTGAATCACTGAGTGAAAACTTAGCGCCGCTATTAGCAGATTAGCGGCAGCGTGTTCAGTGGAAGAAGCTCTGAAACGGATTCAGTTTTAGTTTTTTACTGATATTTAGAAAGATGAGCTGCTGGAAGCGTTAAATCATTTCTACAGATTTCCAGTAAAGAATTCTGCCTGGATTTACGGTAATCTATCTTCACTGACAGGAAAAGGTTTTTCGGTACTTTCATGAGCATCACCATGAAACGTTTACTCATCCGTACAGAAAGCAGTTCATTCCTCCTGAAACGGTTCTGGCATCAGAACCAGGTCAGCGGCTCAGCGCCGAGCCGACCTGCAGTTAGCAGAAGCAGCAGGACGCAGTTTGCTGCACAGACTGTGGGACAGAAAAGGAAGTAAAATCTAGTTCATGTTTGCTTGAAATGAGCTTTAAATGTGTGGCTGCAGGCCTTCACGCTGCTCCACTGGACTTCAGAGCAGGTTTAATCTGAGGAGTCCTGCAGGACGTTTGGTTGAGGAAACATCAGAAACATGAGCGCATGTGTTTTGTTCTTGAAAAGTTCTTCACCTTTGCAGAACCGGGCCGTGGCGCCTCGCGGCTTCCTGTCAGCTCGATGTTTGTGTCAAAGCGAACATGTTGCAGAGGAAGCAGATACTCCTGAGCTCTGTGGCGTTGGTGGTTTTCTGCTGCTGTTGTGTTTCTGTAGATTTGAAGCAGCACAACAAGGACCAAAACTGAGACTTTTTGCTTTTCGTTTGATTGGTTTTGAAAGGATGGTCGATGTTTTTGCTGGGAGTTTGTTTTTCGGCAGGGTTATGGTTAGAGGTTAGGGGTTAGGGGTTAGGGGTTAGGGTTAGGCGTTAGTTAGAGGTAAAGCCAGAAGCGAACAGAGAGCCTTCATTTGATGCTGGAAGCAAAAACGTTCCCGGCTGCTCTGGTGGAGGTGATCCGATGACATTTGATTTTCCGCTGGTGATGAAAGCTTCGTCACGCCTGTGGGTGAATTTTCCGCAGAGAAAAGTTCTGGTTTTTCTGAATGGGCCGGCCGGCGCCTCGCTCTGGGCGTAAATGTCAAGCAGAAGCTCATCGTGGTAAAAATACAGCTGTGGGAAAGTTTGTGGTGGCAAAATTTCCTCAAGCCTAATTTGTAAATGTTCATGTCGTTGATTTTTGTCGCTGGAGAATCGAAACAGTTTGCAAAACTAGCAGCTTTGAGAGAACTTCAGAGTTTTGATGAAATTAGTTTGTAACTTTTCTTTTTAAATATATAATCTGACCTGAGAGTTCAGCTCTGGAGTGACCGCAAGACCAGCCAATCACAAGCAGATGTAACAATGGCAACGGTTTAATAAGGAGGAAACACCTGGACACCTGTGATGCTGGACCTGGACTTCCTTTGACTTCAGGCCCAATCATAAATGTTTCTATTAGCAGAAACAACAAAACCAAAGCAAGAAAACCACAATTATGTAAAGATTATAGCCAATAATGAAAGAAAAGCCAAACGGGATAAAGAGAATCGCTATTCCAACACCATATTGAGCTGATGCTGAGGAGATATTTCATTTTTTCTTAATGTATTGATAACATCAAATATAACAAAGATGAAACCTAAAAAGTCGACCAGGATGTTTCCAGACTAAACAACAAAACAAAAAGAACAAAAACAGCATTAAAGCTTTCAGGTGGTTTATCAGGTGATCTAGTTCTGCATCTGGTTGAGAAGAACAGGCAGCAGAGAAAACTGGGAAAAATGCTTTTGCTTTAAGAAAATGACATTTGTGAATGAAAAACATTTAGTAGCCTTTCAGATTTCTTCAGGGAAAAACCATGAAAGCTTCACAAAACACAAGAATACAAAGATGTTCAGTCGACTCGACGTCACAAAGTAAACACGTTTGATCAGTGATCACGGATCAAAGTCTGGTTTCCTGAGGGGGTAAATGAACTTCCTTCCTTTAGAGGAGCTAACATGCTACATGAACAGGTTTAGAGGAGCTAACATGCTACATGAAAAGGTTTAGAGGAGCTAATATGCTTCATGAACAAGTTTAGAGGAGCTAACATGCTACATGAACAAGTTTAGAGGAGCTAACATGCTACATGAACAGGTTTAGAGGAGCTAACATGCTACATGAACAGGTTTAGAGGAGCTAACATGCTACATGAACAGGTTTAGAGGAGCTAACATGCTACATGAACAGGTTTAGAGGAGCTAACATGCTACATGAACAGGTTTAGAGGAGCTAACATGCTACATGAAGGTTTAGAGGAGCTAACATGCTACATGAACAAGTTTAGAGGAGCTAACATGCTACATGAACAGGTTTAGAGGAGCTAACATGCTACATGAAAAGGTTTAGAGGAGCTAATATGCTACATGAACAAGTTTAGAGGAGCTAACATGCTACATGAACAAGTTTAGAGGAGCTAACATGCTACATGAACAGGTTTAGAGGAGCTAACATGCTACATGAACAGGTTTAGAGGAGCTAACATGCTACATGAAAAGGTTTAGAGGAGCTAATATGCTACATGAACAAGTTTAGAGGAGCTAACATGCTACATGAACAAGTTTAGAGGAGCTAACATGCTACATGAACAGGTTTAGAGGAGCTAACATGCTACATGAACAGGTTTAGAGGAGCGAACATGCTACATGAACAGGTTTAGAGGAGCGAACATGCTACATGAAAAGGTTTAGAGGAGCTAATATGCTTCATGAACAAGTTTAGAGGAGCTAACATGCTACATGAACAGGTTTAGAGGAGCTAACATGCTACATGAACAGGTTTAAAGGAGCTAACATGCTACATGAACAAGTTTAGAGGAGCTAATATGCTACATGAACAAGTTTAGAGGAGCTAACATGCTACATGAACAAGTTTAGAGGAGCTAACATGCTACATGAACAGGTTTAGAGGAGCTAACATGCTACATGAACAGGTTTAGAGGAGCAAACATGCTACATGAACAGGTTTAGAGGAGCGAACATGCTACATGAAAAGGTTTAGAGGAGCTAATATGCTTCATGAACAAGTTTAGAGGAGCTAACATGCTACATGAACAGGTTTAGAGGAGCTAACATGCTACATGAACAGGTTTAGAGGAGCTAACATGCTACATGAACAAGTTTAGAGGAGCTAACATGCTACATGAACAGGTTTAGAGGAGCTAACATGCTACATGAACAGGTTTAGAGGAGCTAACATGCTACATGAACAGGTTTAGAGGAGCGAACATGCTACATGAAAAGGTTTAGAGGAGCTAATATGCTACATGAACAAGTTTAGAGGAGCTAACATGCTACATGAACAAGTTTAGAGGAGCTAACATGCTACATGAACAGGTTTAGAGGAGCTAACATGCTACATGAACAGGTTTAGAGGAGCTAACATGCTACATGAAAAGGTTTAGAGGAGCTAATATGCTACATGAACAAGTTTAGAGGAGCTAACATGCTACATGAACAAGTTTAGAGGAGCTAACATGCTACATGAACAGGTTTAGAGGAGCTAAGTGCTAAACCAACACGTCGAGAAATAGACCAACATAATGAACGGGAGGTTTGAGTTTAATACTGTTGAGTTTTGCTAACTGTGGCTAATTTAGTCTAATAGGACTTCAGGCAGAAAGCAGGGGGACATCAGTTTACTGAACTATAGCAAAACATTGTGGGTAAAGAATGAACTCATCCATCATGGATAAGAAGTCTGTTTTGATTGTTGTTGCATAACAATATTCTGATTAACAGGAAACAGAACAATACTGAACCAGTTTATGTGAAAATGATTCAATAACTTCCTCATTTGGTTTTATTCAAAATGTTTTGCTCTGACCTGAAACACGTTGCTGTTTGTGAATGTGGCTCCAGAGGAAATACACAACCAACCCCACAGGAATGGCCAGAGTCATCTCCACCTGCCTGCGGGAGGAGCGGCGGATCCTGGCCACCACCTGCACACAGGAACAGGTTGGTGACAGAGCCTGGGGCCTCGGGGCCTGATGCTGCATTTACCTCTGATGCTGCGTTTACCTCTGATGCTGCGTTTATCTCTTATGCGGCATTTATCTCTGATGCTGCGTTTATCTCTGATGCTGCGTTTATCTCTGATGCTGCGTTTATCTCTGATGCTGCGTTTACCTCTGATGCTGCGTTTATCCCTGATGCTGCGTTTACCTCTGATGCTGCGTTTATCTCTGATGCTGCGTTTATCCCTGATGCTGCGTTTATCCCTGATGCTGCGTTTACCTCTGATGCTGCGTTTGTCTCTGATGCTGCGTTTATCTCTGATGCTGCGTTTATCTCTGATGCTGCGTTTGTCTCTGATGCTGCGTTTATCTCTGATGCTGCGTTTACCCCTGATGCTGCGTTTGTCTCTGATGAACTAACGACATGTGACCCTTCAAAATAAAATGTCTCTTCTTTCATCAAATTACTGCACACAAATATTTCAACACAAATGTTTGATAAATCCAAACAGGAGGAAAGTTTGATTTTTTAAATGTGATTCATAGACCTGCAGCTTTACTGAGGTTTTATTAAATACATCAGGGCCACAAAGGGGCTGGAATATTTACTGCAGCTGTGAAATGCAGATAGTCTTTGAAATTGCAATAATAATAACATTTTTTTCACAACCTCCTCAGATCAGTTTGGCTTCACAGAACATTGAATCACAATTACTTCACTCCTGTGTATTTATCTAATGTTTCTCAGCTTCCAGAGTTTAGGAGCAGAAAATGAAGGAATGTGAGTCGTTGATGCAGTTGCCGGATGTTTTTGCAGGGCGCGCTGGAGCAGTCGCTGCAGAACTCTGTGGCCTTTGAGAGACAGAAGAACATGGACAACCGAGTGAGCATCATCAGGAACAGCGTCCAGGTAGCCGAGCACACCTGCAGCGAAACAGGCTGGGAATATCAGCTCTGATAAAAACGAATCGTTTGTCTGCAGCTGATGGACCAGGCGGTGAAAAACATCGAGGACATGCAGGACGATTTCGATTTCTGCTACAAGACTCTTCAGTCACGAGGTGAGCGCCGCTCCCAGGATCTGGACGGCTGGAAGGAAACGCTGAATATTCACGTGTTTGATTTTCCAGAATCGGCAGACAGAACGTCAGAGATGATCAAACAGGGAATAACGCGACTGCAGGAAATGCTCAACAGGCTGGACTTTAAACGGAAGGTGAGCAGAGACACTAAACCTCAGCAGCTCCAACATTCACAGCTGAAACTCCTCGTTCTTCGTTCCTCCTCTGGTTTCAGGAGATCCTGTCAAAAATGGACGTGGTGATCAAAGAGATCGATGACCTTATGACCTCTCAGCTGCGACCGGAGCTGCAGGACTGGAAACGGCGGCAGCAGATCGCCGCCATCGGTGGGCCGCTGCTGACGGGGCTGGAGCAGCTGCAGAGCTGGTAAACAGCTGCAGCACAACAACATCACTTCATATTAGCATGAAATCATCATAATAACCTGCAAACTGAGCGCGGCGGGCGGAGCCGACATGTTTACACCTAACAGCTGATTTAATAACCAAATAAACACAAACCTCAGCACAAACATGTTTACTGCTTAGTTTTACATAAATGAATGGAAAATATCAGCAATGACATCATCTGAGAAAAATGATTACATCACAAAAATAAAGTCATTATAATATAAGTTGTAATAATATAACAAAAAATTGCAATAATGAGAATAAACTCCTAATACCACAATAGTCATAATGATGCAATAAAATGTAATAACTCAAGTCAAAAATTGTACGACAAAAAAGTCAAAATAATACCTGAATAATGTGATATTAGTAGAACGAAGAAGTAATTTTATAATTGCTGAAAGGGAAATAGAAAAAAAGTTTTTAATTTTCTTTCTTTCATACAACACGGTTTAGTTTAAGAATCTCCTTCAATTCACAGAAAACATGGAGAATATTAAATAAACCTGCGATATTCTCTCTATGCTAAGCTAGGCTATGTTAGCATGTTAGCATCCAGTCCAAGCATTTTATTAATCATATAAATATGAAGTGATAAATTTAATCTCAAAACAAAATGACTTAAAAACTAAATGTTGTGAATGTAACTCAGATATCAGCAACCAGAATAACATGCAGCTATGCTAGGTTAGCAATAGCAGGCATGATTAGCAGTTTTAGCTTCTATGTAAAGTAAAATGTGTGAGCCATGTTTCTATTGGTGAAACTGTAAAACGAGAATCAGCTCTGACCCTTTGACCTCCCTTTGACCTCAGGTTCACGCTGACGGCACAGAGCCTCTTCCAGATCAAACGGCAGCTGGACAAACTGGAGAACTGGTGGTGAAGGTGACGTATGAGAGCGACCCCATCCCGCTGCAGAAGCCTCAGATGGAGGAGCGAGTGAAATACCTGATCTACCACCTGATCAAGAGGTGAACCGTTTGGATCAGAACCAATTCACCATCAGCATCAGATCCGGCCCGTTGCAGGGAACACGGTCCGATGGGTCTTTAGTGAAGCTGAAAGGTCTGGTTTGGTTTCAGCTCCTTGTGGTGGAGAAGCAGCCCTGCATGCCCACACACCCACAGAAACCTCTGATCATCAAGACCGGAGTCCAGTTCACCACCAAAGTCCGGTACCTGAAGCCCAGCAGCCGCAGCGCTTCCTCTGCCGTCACAATGAAGTAAACTGCAAATCTCTTCTCCTCCTTTCAGACTTTTGGTCAAACTTCCTGAAGTGGATTATCAGCTAAAAGTGAAAACAACATTTGATAAGTATGGAAAGTTTTGGTGCTGCTGAGTGTTGACCTGCTGACCTGTGACCTGCTGACCTGAGGATAACCAGACTGTCGTTGTCTCTGCAGGGACCTTCCAGCCGGCAGAGTGTGAGTTTGTTTCTGCAGCAGAAACTCCCCTGAAAAACACCAAACATGAAGCCACACGTTCATGTCTTTAGTTTTAGAACAGCAACACAGCTGGTCAGTTTGCAGCAGAACATTATGACCACCATCATTCATGCTATTCATTAAATGCAGTCAGACTGCAGTGAGAATCAAGGTGCTGCAGTGGCCTAGTCAAAGTCCTGTTCTGGTTGAAAGGCTGGGATGAGATGTTCAGATGCAGAAACTCAAACTTTATTAAACTGAACCAAATTAGGAAATAATCAATCCAGGTTCCTCAAAAGGTTCTGTTGGGATTCTGATGAGGTCCATGACAAGCAGAAAAAAATGCAGAAATTTCTAAATTACTCAAAAAACTTCAAGACAAAGTTTTCAAATGCTCAAAATTTGCTAGAAAATAACATTTGGAGATTCATTTCAGAAATGTTCCAGAAGAAACTTCGGACATTTCTGGAGCTTTGCAAGTTTCTTGTAGAAAAGTTTTTTCTGTTTCGGCCGTGAATCTGAGTCGGACTCCGACCCGTTTGCTCCTCAGAAGCAGACAGTTCTTCATCCTCACCAACAACACGAAAGTGATGGACATCGAGGATTACTCCAACGGCTGCCTCTCCGTCGAGTTCAGACACCTGGTAGGAAACGTTCACTGCAGAGCAACCTGCGTTGCTGCAACGCTGCCTGAAAGCTGACTGAGTTTGTTTTACAGCAGCTGAAAGAGAAGAAGTACACCAACGGCACCAAGGGCAACGAGGTGACCGGACCTGAAACACATCCAGACATTCACAGGCCAAAATGGTCACTTTTAAACGAGCAGCAGCACAAAAACTACAAAGTCATAATAAGAAGGAAGTTTATCCAGTGATTAACCAGAAAATGGCAGCTAGAAACACAGAAAGCATCATAAAATAGACGGGACGCTGCCTGTAGCTGAACGGATCAGAACCATGTCCAGATGCTTGCAGAGCGGATCCACAAAGTTACCGGTTACTACAGTAAATAGAAATACATAAAATCTGAATCTATTTGGTCGAGTTTAGTAAATTAAGTAATAAACCAGACATTAAAGTGAAAGCCAGTTATCTGCAGAATGTAGCTTTATGAAATATATTTTTTAACACATTTGTTGAAACTACCTGACAGATTCGGCTCCTCTGCTCCTCCCAGCACTTACTAGAAACAACCAATCAGAGCCTGGGGGCGTGGTTTAGTGCTGTCAATAACTCTGCTACACTGCATCTCGCATAGCACGGTGTGATGCTAAGATAGTTAGCATCGTTGCTAACTGGTTTTCCTTTAACAGTATGTTGTTTCTCCACCGTTAGCAGCCAGTATACGAGGATGACTGACAGCGATTAGCCCCGCCTCCTGGCTCTGATTGGTTAAAGTGGAGGCCCCTGCAGGGCCTCAGTGTGGACTGGGTTGGATGCTGATGGCTGGTGTGTTTCAGGGCCTGCTCTCTGTGACAGAGGAACTTCACTCGCTGAGCTTCGAGGCCTGCTTCACCGTGCAGGGCCTCGCCGTCGACCTGGAGGTCAGAGGTCGTTTCCTTCGCCACGCGCCGGCTGCTGCTGTCGCTCATTTCTGCTCTCCTCTCCCCAGACATGTTCGCTGCCACTGGTGGTAATCTCCAACGTGAGCCAGCTGCCGGGCGGCTGGGCCTCCGTCATGTGGTACAACCTGCTGACCGACGAGCCGCGGGTGAAACCATTAGCCGCTCAAAACTTTAGCCATACACACTAACCAGCTAGTCAGCAGTTAGCTTTAGTCAAACTGAAGCTAACTATAAATCTGATGTTAAAATGTATTCAGAGATGTAAGTGTGGTGAATTTTATGCTAAGCCATAGCCGTAGCCCTCAGTTTGATTTTGCTGACTTGTGTTTTCCGTACAGAACCTGGGCTTCTTTGGGAACCCCCGCGCCAGCTGGACCCAGCTGTCTGAGGTTCTCAGCTGGCAGTTCTCCACCTTCGCCGGCCGCGGCCTCAACAAGGAGCAGCTGGACATGCTGGGCGAAAAGCTGCTGGGTACGCGCCTGGAGCGGCTAAAGCTACAGCAACACATCTGAGAACACATCAACCTGCAACAAAAACAACCAATCAGAGCGAGGAGGCAGGGTTTAGCGCTGCCAATCACCTCATGTACTCGTTGCTAAATGTGCTAATGGTGGAGGAACAACTTATCGTTACAGGAAAACTTGTCCACTGTCATCAGTCCTATGCTAACTAGATTTAGCATTCACAAACAGAGGATGATATACAGAGCTAAGTCCCGCCTCCTGGCTCTGATTGGTTATTTCTAGTTGGCGCTGGAAGAAAGAGGAAATCCTCAATTTTTTTCAGATTTTCTGTCTCATAACAAACGTCACAACATTGTGACAGCTTCAAATATTTAAAAAATATTTTTTTATAAAAGTTACAAAGATGGAGGATAACTCTCTGTCGCACCAAACAGCTTCTGCTCTGAGTTGGTTTCTCTGGTTTTACTTAACTCTATGCAGAGACATTTTAATAAATAATAAACTACGAAATATGAGAAAAGAAAAATATGAACAGATTATAATCTAGTGATATTTCTGCTGTTTTCTGTGTTCTGCAGGTCAGCAAGCCTCATGTGGGGATTACCAAGTATCCTGGTCCAAGTTTGCTAAGGTACTGACCTCAGTGTGACCTCAGACCGACCTCAGTGTGACCTCAGACCGACCTCAGACCGACCTCAGTGTGACCTCAGACCGACCTCAGTGTGACCTCAGACCGACCTCAGTGTGACCTCAGACCGACCTCAGTGTGACCTCAATGTGACCTCAGTGTGCTGTTCTTCCCTCTGTCGCTCCTTCTGCTCTCTGTCCTCCACAGGAGAACATTCCTGGAAAGCCGTTCAGTTTCTGGATGTGGCTGGATTCCATCCTGGAGCTCATCAAGAAGCACCTGCTGCCGGTCTGGAACGAGAAGTAAGACCCCGTCGCCTCCGTCAGCCTGGTGGATGTTACAGATATTTTCATAAAACGTTCTGCTCAGTTTCTGCTGAGCTGAAAAAAATCGGAAAAATTTGATTTTTAAATTCCGTCCTGAGTTTATTCTGTTCTTGTAAACATCTCAGCTCAGTCAGTTAAATCAGATGGAAAACATCGGAGAAAATCAGGTTTCAAGTCTTCTTACAGAATCCCACCTGGACTCATGTCTGGACTTTGACTAGACCATTCGACCCATGTTCTAAACTGTCCCATCATAAGTGAAGCTGGACCCTGCAGCTTCTAACAGGTTTACCTGTCAGGATTTAACTTTAACCTGACCTGCTTCCCACAGCATGATGCTGCCACTGCCATGTTTCTTGCTGTGTGTCCAGGAAAGTAAAAATCAGGACTCATTTCCTGGATTCTCTCCACTTTGTGCTGGTCAGTTACATAAATACAAAAGTTGAGGAAAAGTGAGGAACCTCGGTGGTGTAAAGCTTTATCAGATCGCTGTGATGTTTATGAAATCAGTTTCCTGTCTTCATTTTACAGCAGCAGCTTTTAAAGGCAGTTTAATCTGAGCTGAGGAACTGCAGCTTCCTGTAATCTCCCCAGATTATTTCTGCTTTGCTTCATTGTTCGGGCCGTACAGAGAAGTGGCGCAGAGCAAAACGCTCTGTAGCTTCACAGCTGGAACAATAGATTCTACAGAAAAACCCTGGAGGCAGAAGAAGAAGTGATGGAGGTGATTTTCTGTCTGCAGCTTCATCATGGGCTTTGTGAGCAAAGAGATGGAGCGCGCTCTGCTGAAGGACCGCCAGCCCGGAACCTTTCTGCTGCGCTTCAGCGAGAGTCACCTGGGAGGAATCACCTTCACCTGGGTGGAGCACAGCGACAGCGGTGGGTGGAGAGGGAAACGCACACACACACATAAACACAAGTGTCACACACACACATAAACACAAACACACAGTCACATAAACACAGTCTCTCTCATTCACACACACATATAAACATATAAACACAAACACACAGTCATACACACTCACACATAAATTTCAGTGTCAGCATCCAAACCTTTCTTCGTTTTCTTAGCTTCAGCAGTGGCTACCACTGCTAGCTAAACCATAAAGTACTAGTCATAGAAATTAGCTCTGCTAATGAACTACCAACTTGGTATTTAGTGAAAGCTAATGCTAAAGCTCTATATCAACATAGTAATTTGTAGAAGCTAATTGTTTTAGTAGTATAGTAATTAATAGAAGCTAACATTAGTTAATGTTAGCTTAACATTAGTTAATGTTAGAGCTAAGTTTGCTCAGAGTAGCTAATAAGCTGCTAGCGTCCAATGAAACGCCTGAGAAACTGAAGACGCTCAGTGATTTGTGGTTCCACTTTCTGATTATCTGCCAGTTTTCTTCTTCTCTTGTCTCATTAACTGTCGCTTTGTCCAATAGGGGACGTAAAGTTCAACTCCGTGGAGCCGTACACCAAGAACCGCCTGAGCGCGCTCCCATTCGCTGACATCATACGTGACTACAAGGTGATCTCAAATGGCGGCGTTCCGGAAAACCCGCTCAAGTTCCTGTATCCCGACATTCCCAAACGAGGCCTTCGGACGGCTCTACAACAGCCAGCCCAGCAAAGGCAAGACACTAGCACTGAGTTCATACATGTTTGCTTTGATTGGGGTTGGGTGGAGTACCTCTGAGTAGTCAGTGTTCTACCAGCCGGCTTGAGCAGTTTCACTTTGGAGGATTAGATTTCAGATAAATCAAGAAACAGATTCTTAGAATATGTAAACAAACAACCAGCATCATGGGACAACATTACTACAAGATAAACAACTTCATTAAATCAAACAAAATTAAGTTATTAGCTTATGCTAAATACAATGGTGTTATAGCCCATTAGCATTGATGTTTTCATGTCACCATGAATCTTCAGCTCTGACCTTTGACCTCTCTCTGTTCTCAGTCTATCCATATATCCCGTCAACTCTGATCCCCATCTCCGAGCTGCGGTGAGTCCTCCACAGAAAAGACTATAACTCTCATTAGCTGCATTAGCGGCTAGGCTACAGGCTACATGGTTTTAGCTGAAGCTCTCGCTCCATTTTCTCTCTCTAAATGTGTCAAACTCAAGGCCCGTGGGCCAAATCTGGCCCGCTGTAACTGTTTATGTGGCCCTTTGGATTCTAGATTAAACACTAAGTGTGCTTAAATATTATTTTATCAATCAAATCAATGTAGTTTTTATAGTTTACTCAGTCCCTCCAGTTTCTTGAGAATTAATCTGGAAATCCACAATAATTTGTGAATTGTTGCGCTAAAACATAATTGGGAGTTTATTGCAGATGTTTCTCAAAAATTGTCAAAACCTTAAATGAGAGCGAGTGATAAAAAGTCACATTTACATCATAAATAAGCGTAAATATTTCCAAATTAGTACCACAAACACTCATTTTTATTGCAAACATCCCAAAAAGAATCATGAAATTCTGGAGGGACTGAAAGATGATCATAATAATATTTAATTGTAAGGATTCATTGATATTTTAACAGTTTGTGAACAGGTTTTATCAACACCGGCCCTTTAAGAGCATTCATGATCTGGATCTGATCCAGAACCAAAATGAGTTTGACACCCCTGCTCTAAACGAACCCATGTTGGTGACGGTTTGAGGAGGAATCTTGATCTGATCCGGTTTGAGAGCTTTGCAGTGAAACGTCTCCCGTTCTGTGATCCAGATCAGAAGCTAGCTCCACGCCGCGCTCCTGCCCGTCTCCGGAGCCGCCCATGACGCCCGGAGAGTTCGACATGCTCAGTGAGCACCTGTGCTTCGACATCGACACCGTGAGTTTCCACGCGCCGCGTTCTCCAGGGGTTCATCCAGAGCAGAGGGGGCCCAGGGCGGCAGAGGCCACCGCATCGCCCCCCAGTGGCCATGTAGTCTTATCTTTACAGTTTTAAATTAATAGAGCTTCAGTGGAAGATTTATTCATTTGATTATTTTTATAATTTATTTTTCCAATATGTCAGAGTTAACATGTTTCCTCTTTATGTCCTAAAAACTGAAATAATAAAAACTTTAAAGAAGCTGATTATCAGCTAATAACTGATAATATCAATAGATAATAACCTCTGTGGTTCCTGTCAGGGTTTTAACCAAATCACAGCAGAGAAGCTTTTAAAAACATTTATTTATGTCAGAATTTGTCTTTGTTTTTAATTAACAATTAATTTTTACTCATTTAAAACTCATACATGGTGCATTACGGTAATTTAAAGTCTTAAAGGGGTGAAATGAATAGAAAATGAGAGGCGTGACCTTCAGAATGCACACATAAGAATTAGTCATATTGATTCATAACCTAAATAAATTAGTCGGAAGAAATAAATTCTTGAAAAGAAAAGAAATGTATATCCAGGATATGAATCTTTCTCCAAACTCAACATTATTATTATGAAAGATTTATTGTGGATATGGGACATTAATATTTTTATGGTTCTTCGTCTTGTTTTCTCCTATAAACTGTCCTGACAGGAAACCAAATTCTTATTTATGTTTTTTAATTGACATGTTCAGTGTTTCTGATGTGTTTTATGGTGTATTTTTATTTCTCTGAGAATAAGTTTGTTCTCTTTCTGTTTCCAGATGAGCTCTCCGTACTCAGAGTGAATCCTCAACGTTTCTCTTCAAAACTAAACATCATAAATATTTCATGTTGTTCGTTCATGTTTAAAGGAACCAAAACATCTTTAATGTTTTTATTTAATGTTGTTGTAATTTGAGGTCCAATATTACTGAAGTTCTCTGTAAAAAGTTTTTCTAAATAAATTTTCTCCTTAATATCAGCCTGTCATCTCAGCTCATTGGGCCCCCACAGGCCAGACACGCATAACACTGCCAGAGTTCCCGGTTCGGAGCTTTTATTTTGGAGAGGAAACCGGAGGTTGTGAGTCAGCGTGACTCTCTGTAAATGCGCTTCAGGGTTTCTGGGGAATCACGTGGTTCTCGCAGAGTCGTGAAAATGAGTCACGAGACTTGAGGCTGCAGTGATTGCGACTTCCGGTGGGATCAGAAAGAAATCCCCGTCCGCCGGAAGCTGGAGGTAAAGGTCCGAATGCAGTTTGATCAACTGAGCAGCAGACTGAGGGTCTGCTGGACTTGAGCTTCATTTCAGGACTAATTGCTGTGATTAGTTGTTCAGAAACTCCTAAAACTGGAGGAGAATAATAATCTATTATTATTATTATTATTATTATTATTATTATTATTATTATTATTATTAGCTGAAGCTCAGATCACAAAGTCTGACGAGGAAATAAAATCAGATTTTGGGTGTGCGGTGATTCAGCTGCTGAGTCAGCAGTGAAATATGAGGAAACATCTGAGTAAAAAAAATCAGCAGGAACATTCGGCTCTGGGTTTGTTTGCTGTTCACAGAAACTTCTCCTCAGTGATCATCACTAAAGTATTTGAAAACTGAAACACTAATTCATTTTGTTCAGAACAATTAATGAAATTCACTGGATTTTCTTCCACTAACGAAGTTTTATTTTACCTCACATGGTTGCTTTAATCTGTGCACATTTTTACCTTCCACTCAACTTTACAGTGATATGCTTGGAAGCAGCGCTTTGGAAAAGGGAGTTAACATCAGGTTATTTAAATTAACAGCAAATGTCTTGTTTTCAAAGTCATGTTTTCACCATTTCATTCATTCAGTTAGAAATGAGCAAAGTAAATGTTTAATTAACAAGCTAAAGTCAACCTACTAAAGTGATCAATAAACTTCAGAACCACGATGAGGTTTCAATGTTGTAGCTGAATTCTGGATGTTTGATCATCCAGAAGGTGAATGGATGAATGTGACCCGGTCACCAGGCTGGGTCCGTTTCCTCCTGCAGGCTTCATGACGGGAACGTGGCTCTGTGGTCGATGGATTTGTTGACTAAACTTCTACAGAAAACAAAAGACATTTATTTTAGCCAGAAACTCAACAACACAAATCAAACTGTAGCAGAAAACTAAATATGTTGGGAATATTTTAGATAATAATTTACCTGCCATTCACAGAAGCTGCAGAATTCAAAGATTGTTTTGTCTGAGAAAGATTGCAAAGTTTCAGGCTGATAGTCAACAATGATCATATTTCATTGATCATATATTGATCTTTTCTCTCTGTTGGTTTGGAAATCTTAGTATTTGGGTGAAAAATGGCGGTGCAGGGTAATAATTAGATCTAGGAGTTGAAGATCAGATGAGGGAACATGAAGCTGACGGATCTCTGCTGACTTTCTGAATGTTTTAAAACTTTTAGGTTTTATACTTAAAACATATTATTTTACCAATTTAGGTTTTTAGCCAAGTTAAATATTCAGTTAGCATTAGCCAGCTAAAAATAACAGCTTGTTAATTTCAAAACACATAAAGTCTTGAATAAACTTTATTCAATGACGGATAAACAAACAGTTAATAACACGTTGAAAAAATTATTGTCCGATGATTAGCATAATGAGAGGATTTAATGTCAAGTTGTTCGCAGCTTTTTCTAACAATAAAAGCCTTTAATTTGAAAAGCTGCTGAAGCGGAAGCGTGACTCAGCGCAGCTTGACGCTTCCGGCTGAGACGTTTCCCGAGAATCAGCGGGTCAGGAGGGAGTTTCCACGGGATCGCTTCATAAAAGGCGCCGCTGCCTGCAGATCGGTTCTGATCCACTTCCTGTTAGTGAGCGGAGGATCTGAGACTGACGGTGAGAAAAACCTTTAGTGTTTCACATGTTTATGTCATAAATATGTTAGTTTTCTGACTGATGATTTCAAGCTGAATTAAATGAAAACGTGTCATAAAGTTTAGCTTTAATCATTTCAATAAGTTGTGTTCAAAAACATAACAAGAGCGAGCATGAACGCTCAGGCTTCCGTACCTGCTGCGCTCTGCGCATAAAATAAGGAGCGCATCCGAGTCTGCAGGGTTTATTGAATCCGGATCAGAACCGAGAACGTTTGAACATCTGGAACGTTCACAGATTCAAACTGCAACATGAGTCGAAAAGTTCTGCTACATGTGAAACTATGGAGGTTTTATTGATATTCTGTAACCCACACATAAATAAGGAAAGTTTAGTGGAAGGAAAACGTATCAGGCGTTCCAGTTCCTCAGGCGGTTCTGTTGTGGTTCTGTGCAGATGGCGCAGTGGCAGGAGTTGCTGAAGCTGGACTCGGTGCTGCAGAACCGGGTCTGGCAGCTGTACGAGGGCCGGTTCCCCATCGATATCCGGAACCAGCTGAGCCACTGGATCGAGAGCCAGGACTGGTAAGAGGAGCCAATTCTGCTGGGTTCTGAAACTGGTTCTGCTGGGTTCTGGGCGGTGGCTCCTCCCCCAGTCAGACTGAACATGTTTTATTTATCGAGTCTGAAAAAGTTCAATAAAATGATTTAATTTGACACAAAATGGAAATGAAAAAATTGAATTGCAAAATTCTGAAAAGTGTGGAGTACCTTTCTAGTCAGAACCCTGCAGAACCTTTTCTGGCTGCAGGTTTTCTGGGTTTGTCTCCATCAGCTCTGAACATCTAGACTTTGACTAGGCCATTCTATCCATGTTTATTTTAAGGTCTGTACAGAATACATAAAATATTTCAAAACTTTAGAAATATTGTTATAAAAACAGGAAGTGAGGCGGGTCAAAGTGTGACATCATTTCCTGCTGCAGGAGTGCTGCAGCTGCAAACGAGAACGCGGCGGCTGCGTGTTTCTGCGCTCTGCTGCAGCAGCTGGAGGAGCAGTGGCGCCGCGGTCCAGGAGAACGCCATCCTGGACGGGCCCAACTTCTCCAGGATGAGGGCCGACATGGTGGTACGGCGGAGCCGGCGCGGCGCTCAGTATGCTACCTGACGCTACCGGGTCTGAAGCAGCTCTGTGTTTCCAGGAGAACTTCCAGGCTCAGCCGCTGAAACTGGCCGCCATTTTGTCTGAGTGTCAGTCGGAGGAGAAGAAGATCCTGGAGTCGGTTACCATGACGACGGTGAGTCCCGATTAGCGGCGCGGCGGCGGCGCAGGAGCTAACTGACCCTGTTCTCCTCCAGGGCGGCGGCGTCATGGCGCCGCAGCGGACGGAGCTGGACAACCGAGTGACGCGGCTGAAGCTGCAGCTTCTGGTAATCAGACGGATCCGATTCCTGACCGGACCCACACAATCAGAACCAGAACCTTGATCTGTGAAATCTGCTGCAGGAGCTGAAGAAGGAGGTGAAAATCCTGGAGGACCTGAGCGAAAAACTCGACTTCATCCAGAACTCGTGGCAAAATCAAGGTCAGGCAAAGGTCACTGCTGCAGGAACCTGCGGCATAACGCCACATGGTGTTCTAACAGGAATATTTGGGTCAAAGATGACTACTGCGTTCTAACAGGAACGCGTGTGTTTCCTTCACTAGTGGAGCAGAACGTGAACCTGGTCCAGTCCAAGGCCCGGCTGGAGCAGGAGTGTCTGAGGTTGGCCCAGTCCGTCTCCCAAACCAGACAGGTACCGGAGACCCACACAGTACAGAACCGATCAGAACCGGCTGATCAGAACCGGCTTATCAGAACCAACTGATCAGAACCGGCTAATCAGAACCGATCAGAACCAGCTGATCAGAACCGATCAGAACCGGCTGATCAGAACCGGCTGATCAGAAACTGATCAGAACCAGCTGATCAGAACCGGCTGATCAGAACTGATCAGAACCAGATGATCAGAACCGATCAGAACCAGCAGCTCCCTCAGTTTAAGGTTTGAAAACTGACTAGAAACCAAATTAGCCACGATGCTAACTTATTTTATTTTGAAGGTCAACCTGCTTCACTGGATGTTTTTCTTCTTCCCCTGCAGCAAGAGACTCTGGGTCAGCAGGTTGACCCGGCTGACCCGGTTGACCTGGCTGACCCTCCTCAGGTGTTTGATGCTGCGTTACGTTATCTCTCAGGTTGTGCTGCAGCGGCTGGTCAACGTTCTGAACGAGGCGTCTGGTTCGGTCCAGACTCTGACCGGAGTGGAGCTTCCTGAGTGGCGGCGGCGGCAGCAGCGGTTCTGCATCGGCAGCCCAGAGGACGCCGGCCTGGACCCGCTGGAGAAATGGTGAGGCGCCGGCACGCCTCGTGGCCCGGCCCGGCCCGACCCGGTCCCGCTCGCTGCCTGACCCGACCCGGTGGTGTTCTGCAGGTTCACGGCGGTGGCCGAGGTTCTCTCGGTGTCGGCGAACAGCTGCAGCAGCTGCAGGTCCAGAACCAGAGGTTCCCCGCCCCGGACTTCCCGGGGCCTCAGCGACTCCGTGGCAGAAATGGAGAAGTTCTGCCGCAGTCTGATCCGGAACCTGCTGACCAGGTGAGGCTCCGCCCCCGGCTGGCGATTGGACCGGCCGGCCCGGGGCCCGCTGACCGGTTCTGTTTGGGTTCTGTGCAGCGCCCTGGTGGTGGAGAAGCAGCCTGTCATGCAGAAGCTTCTTCACCGGCCGCTGATCCTGAAGACCGGCGTTCTCTTCAAGGTCACCGTGAGGTGAGGCGGAGCAGACTCACACTGTGACCTCTGACCTACAACCTGAGCCAAGATGGCCGCCACACCCAGATCCAGCAGAACTGCTATCACTTTGAAACATTAATGAAAGTTCCCAGAGGTCAGACATGTTGTTTGATTTATGAAAGAAAAAAAAAATCAAAACAAAAGCAGCACAAACGTAGCAGAATCTATTCACCAATTTCTGATTTAGTAAAGATGGAGCCTGTTTGACCTTTGACCTCTGGACATTTGAAATGATAGCAGCACCAACATCTTTGCAGCACAAAAGTTTGACAGCATTTTGCTTGGAGGCTCATTTGTTTCATTTCATCATCAAAATGAATTTTATTTTTGAAACTTTATTTTTGTTCCTCAGGTTTTTGGTCAACATTCCAGCCTTTAAGATGCTCATCAAAGTCAAACCCGTTTTCGACAAGTAAGAAAAAATCTTCAGTTAAGATCAAATATTTTCCTCTTTCTTCTGTTTTTCCATAAAATATTATTTTCTGGTTGAAATCAGAGACGTTGAAGAAGTGAAGACGATCAGCGGGTGAGAAAATCGATCAATAAAAGAATTTATAAAGCTTGCTTTACTATTTTTATGAAATATTTGTAATACTTTAGTTTTTAACTGTTTGATGTATTTTAGTAAAATGTTTGTGTTAGTTTTCGTCAGTTCGATTTCTCGCGTGACGACTCCAAGGTTCTGGACGTGGATCTGTCCAGCGGCGCGCTGACGGCGACGTTCGAGCACATGGTGGGAAACCCGATCAAACTATTGATCACTAAGTATTGATCATCATTAATAAATCATTTCTGTTTTTGTTTTCAGTCGCTCAAAGAAAAAAAGTCCAGAGTTAAAGGCTCCAGTGAGGTGAATCATTTTGGATCATTTAACGTTGGTTGTTGTTGTTGTTGTTGTTTATTTGCTCTGCATGTTTCCATGTTTTGGGCCGATCAGAACCAGCTGACGGTCACAGAGGAACTCCACGTCATCCGCTTCGTCACGCAGCTGCAGCACAACGAGGAGACCTTCCACATCCAGGTGACCAGTAAGACCAGTAAAACCAGTGAACCGGTTCTGCTCCGGCTGACGGCCCGGTTCTGCTCCGGCTGACGGCCCGGTTCTGGTTCTGTCTGTCCGTCAGGCCAGCTCCCTGCCGCTGGTGGTCGTTTCCAGCTCCAACCAGGTTCCCAGCGCCTGGGCCGCCGTCATGTGGTCCAACATGACAACCGACGCCAACTCGGAGGTGAGTACAGAACCAGGACTGGCCTCTGCCGGTCCGGAACGGGCCGGACTGAAGTTCTGCTATGTGTGGACAGAACCTGTCGCTGTTTCTGGACCCGCCGGGCCTGACCTGGCAGCAGCTGGCGCCGCTCCTCAGCTGGCAGTTCCTGTCGGTCGGGCAGCGGCCACTGGACCAGGACCAGCTGTCCATGCTGCAGGCCAAGATCATGGGTGGGTCCAACAGAACCAGAACCTCCCCCCGCCTTTATGTAATAATGGATTAGATTAGCTTAGCCTCCATGCTAAGCTAACTAGCATCATGCGAATGTTGAACTGATTGAATTGAGCGGTTCTGATTTCATCCAGATGATCCTGATGGTCCGATTCACTGGAACAAGTTTTCCAAGGTGAGGTTCTGGACGTGTTCTAGTCCAGCAGGGTCCAAAGTGGCTCAGGGGCCTTTAGGGGCCACAAAGTGGGTTTATTAACTCAGGATGTTGATTCATGCCTTTAAAAAAGTCTTCTAAAAATGTAAATAAAGTTTATGGATTTTATCGCTGGATGTCTCTGACTTCCTGTCTCTGACTTCCTGTTTCCCAGGATGAGAGCGTCTGGATTTGGATCGATGGAATTCTGGATCTGATCAAGAAGTTTGTGTGGGAGCTGTGGCGGGACGGGTAAGTCGGGTCAGATCGGGTCAGATCGGGTCGGGTTAACACCCCTGCTGCTTCTCTCCTCCTTCAACATGTCTTGTGTGTTTCTGCTCTCCAGATGCATCATGGGATTTGTTAGCAAGGAGAGAACGCGCTGCCTGCTGCGGGAGAAACCGGTCGGGACGTTTCTGATCCGATTCAGTGAGAGCGTCCTGGACGGCGCCATCACCTTCAGCTGGGTGGAGCAGACCGCCGGAGGTCAGTGTCACACAGACCCAAACGGGCTCACCAGAACCCGAACAGAACCAGAGGACTGATCTGACCCGGTCTGCAGAGAAACACGTCCGCGCCGTGGAGCCGTACACCAAGAAGGAGCTGTCGGTTCTGTCTCTGCCCTTCGCCATCGACAACTACACCCTGACCACGCCGGGGGGGAGCCACAACCCGCTGGTCTACCTGTACCCCGACACCCCCAAAGACGCTGCGTTCGCACGCTACAGAGTGACAGGTACCAAGCGGCGCCATGTTGACGTCTGGAGACGGTTCTGTGGATAAAAATGAACAGCAATAATTTGACCTGTTTGACCTTAAGAATAAAAATGGAGCTTAAGTTTCAGTTATTCATGTCAGTTTCAAGCTGAATACATTAATATCCACTTATTCAACTATTTAGTTAGTTAGCCAAATATTAAACTCAGAAATCATTTTTAGTTAGCCAGGTAGCTTGCTAAGTAGTTAGCTTAGCCTCAGCCAGCAAGCTAAGGTCTTAGTTTCAAACTGGAACATTTATGAATAATATGATGAAAATGTAACTTTTATAAAATGCATTTTAAACAGTGTTTATCTTTAAATATCAGATTTAAAGTGAGTTATTTCATAAGTATTTACAGCATTTTCTGTGATGCTAAAGGTTCATGAAGACTTAATCACTCTTTATTGTATCAATAATGTCTAAAAGCCAGTTTTCTTGTTGTGATTGTGGGAAAATGAGTTTAGAAGGTAAATCTAAATGAATGAGTGAAGAAGTTTGACCCAGTTGGTGGCGCTGTTTCTGCTTTGACCCGCTGCAGCGCCGTCTCCTCCCAGCACCAACATAAAGGGATACCTGCCCAGGAAGATCACTTTGGTCTCCATGTAAGTTTCTGCTGAACTGAAACTCTTTGCCAGTTCTTCTTCAGGAAGTAAGCAGGAAGTAAACGTGTCGTTCCCCCGCAGTGGCCCCACGCCGCCGCCGTCTCCGCCTGCCGCCATGCTGCTGGACCCTGAGCCCTCCACGGTGGGTTGGACGCTGCTTCCTGTCTCATCATTTCTTTATGGCAGCTGATTTAAAGTGACGGTGTTTGTTGCTCTCCAGGTGAATGTGGACGACATCATATCGTATTTATTGGACATGGCTGACGTCCCCTCATCGTCTCCTCTGCAGAGCTACAGTGATCCTGATATTTTCTTCCAAAACATCAATCAGTGATCAGAAAAAGTTAATGAACATCACTGGATTATTATGTACATAGTAAAAATGAAAAATACTCATTTGGAAATCCTTCCTCCAGGGTTTCAGGCTGAAATATAAAAACACTTTTCAGTTTTTATCTTTTAATAAAAATGCTTTAGAAAAGCTGTAAATATCCAAACATAATAGAGCAGAATTTGTTTTGCTGCTGTACAATGAGATTAAAGTTCACAGTGAATGTGATCAACACATGGTGATTATTGAAGGTGCCAATCTGTTTCCATAGAGACAAATTTCTTACTTTTATCAGACACAATTTATGCTGCAGAAATATTCATCTAAAACTATAAACTATTTGCTTAATGCCTGTTTGTAAATACTGCAAAAAAAAAAAGTATGAACACTATTGATATTTATTACTAAGGATGCGATTAGATTTACTTTTACACCATCTAGTGGTTGGAGTGTGAACTGAGAGGATGTTAGAATTTCAATGTACCCAGTGAATAATCTTCACCCGGAGCTGGAATATGGATTAAAAATATATTTACGCTTTTGATAACTGCTACATAAAGGAGACATTCATTTAAATTTTTAGGTTTGAAGCTTTTTAGTGACACTCGGCAGCAAAGGGATGGAAACATGCTATGCTAGTATTGGTATGATTGTTCCTAAACAATCACATCAAAAATCACTAAACAAAACAAAAATTAGCGCCACCTTTGGTCTGGAGTCAGAATGCAACCAAAAGGAAAACTTTATTGTAAATTGAATAAATTACACAAACATGAATCTCAAAGTCTCTGTGCTTCGACGACACCGTCGTCATAAAATACATTCAGGATACAATCATCTGACGTCTGCGGCCGTCAGCCAATCAGAGAGCAGATACCTGAAACGATTTACACCAAGATTTCACACAAACTCACATAAGTGGGACCTGGTTTATATGGCAACGCAATAGGGCCATGATAGGTAGACAAAAGGAGAAATGACCACCAAAAAAGTTCAGATTTATCAGAAACTTTTTTTTTTTTTACATCTCAGTTTCAGATGTCAAACAATTTTAGAGAAAAAAATTTCTGAAAATGTTTGACTTGGAAATTTTCCGAGTTTCAAACTGAAAAAGTTAGACTTCTGAAGATTTCTTTGTTTTTCTGCATTTCTGAGATTTTATCAAGCAATGTTTTTATTTTATTTTTCTAGAAAATTTCTGATTCATCTGAAAAATTCCAGATTTTTTTTCTAGGAATTTTCAGACTTTAAACTCAGAAATCTTTCTGTTCTATAGAATTTGAGATGAAAATTTTCTGAGATTCTTTTCCAACAATTTTTACTTTTCAAACTGAGAAAAGCTCATTTATTTTTTTTTAGGCTGGAAGGTTCTCATCTTTTGTTTTCCATCTGGCCCTGATGCTGTCGTAGGTTTCTGGTTCCCATCCCTGACTCGATATCTTCATTTTTATATAAATATGAGTAAATATACTGTAAACACCGGATCACAGACGCTGCATGAAGCTCACACACGTTACACCAGGATACAGGCGGAAACACAAAGCAAAGCCACTGAAGCGGGTTTCCTCCGGAGGTTCTACAGGAGGCTGTCCAGGTTCTTCTCGTTGCTGGTCTTGTCAGAACCGTCGGTCGGATTGTAGTTCTCCTGGTACTCCTGCAGGGCGGCGACCACGTCGTGATGGCCGAACTGCACGGCTTCGTCCAGCGGCGTGTTGCCCCACCTGGCAGGAGGACAGGCTGGACTCAGAACCAGGCTGAACCAGTCTGGACTCAGAACCAGCCTGGACTCAGAACCAGCCTGGACTCAGAACCAGGCTGGACTCAGAACCAGGCTGGACTCAGAACCAGGCTGGACTCAGAACCAGGCTGCACTCAGAACCAGTCTGGACTCAGAACCAGGCTGCACTCAGAACCAGTCTGGACTCAGAACCAGCCTGGACTCAGAACCAGGCTGGACTCAGAACCAGGCTGAACCAGGCTGGACTCAGAACCAGGCTGGACTCAGAACCAGGCTGGACTCAGAACCAGGCTGGACTCAGAACCAGCCTGGACTCAGAACCAGTCTGGACTCAGAACCAGGCTGGACTCAGAACCAGGCTGGACTCAGACCAGGCTGAACCAGGCTGGACTCAGAACCAGTCTGGACTCAGAACCAGGCTGGACTCAGAACCAGTCTGGACTCAGAACCAGCCTGGACTCAGAACCAGTCTGGACTCAGAACCAGGCTGCACTCAGAACCAGGCTGAACCAGGCTGGACTCAGAACCAGTCTGGACTCAGAACCAGTCTGGACTCAGAACCAGTCTGGACTCAGAACCAGTCTGGACTCAGAACCAGGCTGGACTCAGAACCAGTCTGAACCAGTCTGGACTCAGAACCAGGCTGGACTCAGAACCAGTCTGGACTCAGAACCAGGCTGGACTCAGAACCAGTCTGGACTCAGAACCAGCCTGGACTCAGAACCAGTCTGGACTCAGAACCAGGCTGAACCAGTCTGGACTCAGAACCAGGCTGGACTCAGAACCAGTCTGGACTCAGAACCAGGCTGGACTCAGAACCAGTCTGGACTCAGAACCAGTCTGGACTCAGAACCAGGCTGGACTCAGAACCAGTCTGGACTCAGAACCAGGCTGGACTCAGAACCAGTCTGAACCAGTCTGGACTCAGAACCAGGCTGGACTCAGAACCAGTCTGGACTCAGAACCAGCCTGAACCAGTCTGGACTCAGAACCAGCCTGAACCAGTCTGGACTCAGAACCAGCCTGAACCAGTCTGGACTCAGAACCAGCCTGGACTCAGAACCAGGCTGGACTCAGAACCAGGCTGAACCAGTCTGGACTCAGAACCAGCCTGGACTCAGAACCAGCCTGGACTCAGAACCAGGCTGGACTCAGAACCAGTCTGGACTCAGAACCAGTCTGAACCAGTCTGGACTCAGAACCAGACTGGACTCAGAACCAGCCTGGACTCAGAACCAGACTGGACTCAGAACCAGGCTGGACTCAGAACCAGACAATGGACCTGCTGGATGGGACTCACCTGTCCTTCGGGACCGGGTTGACCCTGCAGGCGTCCAGCAGGAAGCGGACCACGTCCAGGTGTCCTGCAAGCAGACAGACACTCACTGGTTCTGCTGGGGAGCTGAACAACAAAATGGCTGCAGGTTTATCATCAATTTATTTAGTTTTTGTTTCAAAGAAATAAAAACATGCAGAAACCGACTGGCAGGTTGTTACTAGGCAACCAAATAATGACCGAGTTGCTAGGTAACCAAAGAGCAGCTGACGCCACCAAACTTAGCTTAGCTAGCCGTGAGAGCCTTTCCTCTGCCTACATCTCCCAGAATACCGTGCGGTCTTGGCTCAGAGTTAAGTGAACGTTCCATCAGACGTGATACGTTTAAGGTTCTGGTTCCGGTTTACCTTCAGCTGCGGCCACATGGAGGGCCGTCCTGGAGTCATAGTCCCTCTGCTCCATGTCCATGGAGGACAGGGCGAACCTGAAACACACAAACACCGGTCTCAGACCAGAACCAGAACCCGAACCCGAACCCGCCACAGCTCCGGGTTCTCAACTGGACCAGTTCGGATGGAGCTTTTCAGGAAAACGACCCAGTTCCAGACAAAACTGGTCCTTGGACATTTAACTTCCGGAAACATATCTGAAATAAATCTTATAAACTTTAATATGACCTTCATTCTTCTGAAAAGTTTATGTGAACTGACTGGACTATACTGAGCTAGCTCAGAGCTAAATTGCTAATATGCTAACGCGCTTCCGATAAACGGAAGTGGACTATCATAATAAAAGCTGGGTGTTAAGAAACTGCTGCTGGTGAGTCGCCGAGGCATCATTGATAAAAATTAGCACTGCGTTTAAAACGACTCATCGTTGTTCTAAAGAAAAGTAACATGTTCTGTTAGAAGTGACCATGAAGAAAACCGAGACCAGCTTTTATTTTGGTAGTCCACTTCTGCTTGTTGGCATGTGAATTTGCATGTTATCTAAATATTTAGCTTGACAACTTTGACCTAATTTGAACTAATATTTAGCTAGTTAAATGGCTCCAAACTGAATATTTAGCTTGATGAACATAAAGTTAGAAGAAAAGCTCAGAGCTAATAGCTCCCAATTTTACATAGCAATGTCTCAGAACCACAAAGTTAGCTTTATAGTTAAATATTCCAGTTAATTTCCACAGCTAAATATTTAGCTTGCAGATTAAATATGTATTTGATTTTTACAAATGAATAAATAACACGGAGATAAAACTGCGGCCCCTTCAGACAGGCTAAATGTAGGAGATTATTACTGCCAATGGATCAGTCATAAAGTGGCCTCCATCAGAAACAGTTGACGTTTATTGTGTGGCCACTAGGGGGCGGTAAAGCGCAAAGCTGGAACAGTGCAGAGCTTTGCTGAAGGTGAGTAAAACCTCGACGTTGCTCACCTCCTCAGGGCGGAAACGTCTCCTGTGTAGGCAGCGAACAGCAGGTTGATGACAGACTTCACCTGAGGACACAACCAGACATCAGCTCCACAAACTGATGAATTCCGGCTGGTGGACCAACATGGCGGAGGCGATCCGCCTCAAAATGAATACAGTAAACTGGAAATATAAAAATCCATGTGAAAACCAATAAGACCAGCTTTGGTCACCTAAATTTAACCTTTGGAAGTGTTAAATAGATAGAAAAATCAGACTCAAATCAACAAGCTGTAAAATACATTTCAAATGTCATGATCACATTCTGGATTCCCAGGAGAAACCCAAAACTGGTTTATGAAGTGTCGACTGGTTTTAGTGGAATTTAGCATCTGGTTTTAATCAATCTGAAGTGAAATAAGGAATCCACATTTTCCGTTTTAATTTACAAATTATTTCAATTTTCTGTCCAGAATGAAGATATTTGGATCATCAATATAGGAATCAATTCATCCAACCATCTGTTCATTCAGCAGCTCTACTCTGAACTGATGGTTAATAAAAGCTAAGCTAAAATGAAATGGGCCCAATAGCAAACCTTGTGGTATCCCTCAGTAACCTTGAAGCTCCGCCCACACAATGATGACCAACACAGCTTCAAACACCCAGTAGGAACTAAACTGCTCTCTGTATCCCAGCTGGGTTAAGTTAGAGTCAAGAAGCTGATAGATAAGAGCTTTATTTTATTTCATACATGAGACAAAAATGGCAAAACAAGAAAAAAATCAAATGAACAATGTAGACAGTCATGTCTGGTCCAATCAGCTGACACGACAGATCATGGATTCATGGAGACTTCATGCACAATCACAAACATAAAGACTTGGAAATGTGAGGTTCCACTTCTGATTTAAAACATGTTTCTTTTCACAACTAAACATGAAGTCTTTGGTTTGAGTCCAGAAACCTCACAGTTCCAAGTCAGACAGGAGCAGAAATGATCTTTATTCAGCCAAGTAGCATCTGTAGCGACCATTTCATAAAGAAACATTCAGCACCAGAATCAACATAACACAGAAAATAAAAACATTTAACAGTCTGTACAAAACTCAGCATGCAAGATGAGAATCCAAAGAAACAAAATGAAATGAGCAGAAAACAAAACCGGATGATTTTCATGAGAACAATCAGTAACAGATTCAAAAGCTCCGCCGGCGTTAAGCTCAACGGTGAGACGATTCATGACTCAGCAGATCGGAGGAAAACAAACCGGTTTAAAGTGTTACAAATTTAACTTTATGACCCCCAAGGATTTTAATGGAGCGCATCATGCAGAGTGGAAAAACAGAAAGTCAGTTTTAATGGTTTCCTGAGTTCCTCAGGGATTCGTCCTCACACCAGTTTCTTCCTTCCTAAAGAGACTTAAAATTCACTTCTACACCAATGAAACTGTGAACTTTGTGCTTCATTTTAGGTAGTTTGTCTATTTACAGTGAAATCCTGATTTAGCCTCAAATCGTCTCTAAAGGGCCTTAAAGCAGTCGAGGCTTTTGAATCTTTATCTACAGGAAATAAAAAACAGAAATAAAACAAAGGAGAAGAAAGGAGTAAAAAACATTTTCACATATCAGATTTTTTGCTCCAGCAGCGTCTCTCTCTGAGCTCAACTCCAACCTAAAACCAGTTGATCGGCTCCAGCACCAACTGGAGCAGCCACCATTAAGGCCCTGCACCTGCAACGCCTTCAGGTTCCTGCAGGGGGCGACACCAACTGGCCTAAGCTTCCATCCAACACAAACAAAAGGAGCCAGAAAGCAAAATACAGCAGCTGCTCTGAGCATCCAGCAGAACGGATCAGTAATACTGAAAACAGTCTGCAGGCCTGAGACCAGAACCAGAACCGAGACCAGAACCAGACTGTGGAATAAAACGCTGCTGCCTTCGTCTCACCAACAGCCATGAAGAAGAATCGGATCCACTGATAATTTACAGCTTGTTTCATTTCTGATAATTTAGTTGACCTCTGACCCTAGTGGAGGAGCGTTGAGCAAAACTCATCATCCTTCAAGTTTTCTGAGCATCTTTACATTCAAACAGGTTTGATTCTCAATGATTTTTAATAAAACCTGATTTTCTTCTGTGTTGTCGTTCATGCTGCCATTTAAATGCGACTTTCGTGTGAACAATGTATGACCCCAAATGACCTGCATGAAGGAAAACCGGAGCGAGAAGAAAAACCTGGAGCGAGAAAGAAAACCCGGAGCGAGAAAGAAAACCCGGAGCGAGGAGGAAAACCCGGAGCGAGGAGGAAAACCCGGAGCGAGGAGGAAAACCCGGAGCGAGGAGGAAAACCCGGAGCGAGGATGAAAACCCGGAGCGAGAAGGAAAACCC